AAAATAAGGCTTAAATGAGCTATTTTAGCCCAAAAATGAAAATGCCTCAACTTTCCAAAATTAATGTTTAGCTCATTTGAGGCATTTTTATTTTTTTTGGCTAAAATAGCTCATTTTAGCTTAATTTTTACTCCTGAGTCATTTTGTAAAAAAATGCTCAGGAAAGTGACCTATTTTCCACCAACCAAATTGCCATTTTTTCCTGGGGCAAAATTGGTATTGTTTGTAGTGTATGTAGGACTTCCCTTCACAGTTTCACTTTCACAACCCCCTGTAAAGCCAGAATGACAGGCTGGAAAGCTGTTTTCCCAAGAATTTGTAATACTAAATGAAAATCTACAAGGGCTGTCAATTTGACAGGAAGTCCTCCACCAGCTTCCCTTACATGTGAGCCCAGGCAGGAATACAGTGCACAGAAAAAGCAAACTTCAAATGCGTTGGGGATTGGGTGTGCAGTGCGGACACTCCAGAAGAACCTCCCGCGAGTTAAGGGGGGCTTCTCCACAGCCCCCCTGGCCCCCCTGTGCTGAACCAAGATCGATTTGATTTCGACGGCATCCTCGTCCCAACCTCACATCGAACCACCATCATATATCCTTCGACATGGCTTCACCTCGCGGTCGATCGGCCTCCCCCAAACCACTCAGAACCGAAAACTTGAGCTCGAAGACTGACGTTCAAGATCCACCCAATGGACTCAAGAAATCCAAAGCTAGTCCACGCTCAAGGTCAGTCTTCCAGATCACACATGTAGTCCCTGAATTTACCACCATCTTGATTTACTTGTTGATTTTTTTGCTCCAATATATGTCTCAAAAGGTCCCCATCTGGCTCCAGACGAAGCAGTCGTGCAGCTAGTGTCAAATCCCGACGTTCCGATTCGCGCTCCATGAGTCTATCGCGATCCAGCTCAGACAGTCGTTCCCGATCACGGTCATACTCCAGCTCTCGCTCCCGATCCCCCCGCCGAAAACGTGGCAGATCTTACTCCGGCCCCGGATCTCGTTCTCGCTCTCGCTCTCGTTCGCGTTCTGCATCATACTCTTCTTACTCCTCAAGGAGCGATTCTCGAGATTCGGCTGAACGCACCGGTAGTGGATCTAAAGTCATCGAAGTATCTAAACTTACAAAAAACGTCACCGCCGAACATGTTCGAGAAATCTTTAAGGTATATGGTACTATCAGAGAGGTCGATTTGCCAATTGTCAGACGAAGTCAGTATCATTTTTTCCCCCTTAATTCCTTATCAAAGTCAAGTCTGATCAAGCTGTCCTTTTATACTTCTATTGGAAAATCAGTCGGATCACATCGTGGTACGGCTATTGTGACATATGATACCGACAAAGCAGCACAGAAAGCTGTCAGCCACATGAATCGAGGCCAACTGGATGGCTCGCTCATATCCGTCCAAATTTATCGATCACCCTCTCCTCCACGAGGACCGGCAGCTTTACGCCGTGGTAGCACTACCTATCGAGGCACTTCCGGCAACGGGAACCGCTACGCCGCCCCTCGCGGCCCCAACATACCCCGCCGCAATGCCAGTCCTCCACGTCGATCATTTGGGGGGAGAAGTCGCAGCCCTCCTCGACGAAGCTTTGCTGATAGTCGCACCGCTGGTCGCCCTAACCGATCACGAACCCCACCTTACCGTCGCAAACGATCTCTCAGCCGAAGCCCTAGTCGCAGCTCCCGGCGTGGCGTCAGACGACCCAGTCCCCAATATGGAGGTCGAAGCTCTCGTAGAAATCGTTCTTATTCTAGAAGTGATTCTTCAAGCTACACCCGATCTAGTGTTTCTAGATCACGAAGTCCACGCAAATAATCTTGTGCATTTCCCAGAGGCAATATAATCAATAAAATAACAATATATGTGACAAACCTTTGTAAATCTTCATCTTTTGCGTTTACTTCTGCACATTATACCAGAGAGGTGGTTGCCATTTCTATCACGAGCTTTTTCAACAATCATGAATTTGATCAAATTCGTGAAACAGACATGAGCTAAAAAGTCATTGTTAGCTTGATGTTGGATGTGGGATATGACAACATATCACCTAGTGAGGTCTCTTGGTGAACGTCTTCAATATCAGTTGTTTGAAGCTCCACTCCATCTTTGTCATTTATTCAATAAATTTCAAGGTCACGAATAATTGCGAGGTCAAATTGAAAATAAAGAATGAATTCAGGATAAATTAATTTTGACAACACCCTAGCTGAACAAGAAAAAAAAGACAATCGGTGAGATGTGCGAGATGAGGAGATAATATTAAGAGGGGGCTTCTTAGATAGTCCAAAACAGTTTCCAAAGACCTTTGACAAAGCCCAAGATCTCATCTTTCCCCAACTTGCTATCCCCATACAATCGATCAATAAACGTGATCGGCACTTCCCCCATCCTGCATCCCATCGATCGGGCCCTCACGATGATTTCCATTTGGAACACATAACCTCGTGATGTTGTTTTTTGGATCAATTCTCTTAGGATTGATGTCCGATATAATCTAACAATGAAATGAGAGGTTCATCAGCCATTTTTACGCATCAGAAAAAAACCATCAATGATCCCTGTCAATTAAGACCTACCGGAATGAGCCAGTGACATCGCTGACGCCAGGATCGAGAAGAATGTATGTAAGCATGTTTGCGCCTCTGCTGACGAGTTTCCTTTTGAAGTCCCAACCGTGTACGCCGCCGCCAGGACGATAACGAGAGCCGGTGACGATGTCCAGGCCGTGTGCCCGTTGGAGAGCAATAAAGGTGGGCAAATACTTGGGATGATGAGAGAAATCGGCGTCCATGATGATCGTAAAGGTGCCAGTACATGTCGATAAGCCGTGCATATATGCCGTTCCGAGACCTAGTTTACCGGCTCTGGGTCGAATAATCTACCTTGTGTGCATCAATATCATCATCAAAAAAAGAAAAGGCAAGCCAATTTCAGGCATGAGTGTTGCATTCACATATATATGAAAATGTCGTGGTTTAGGGATTTGGCGGGTGATCTTGAGCTTTGTATATAGAGGGAGGGGGGCGGACGATTCGATGCGGACCGTATAACCGTTGTAGTTGTTGAGCAACCTCCAATGTGCCGTCAGGAGAATTATCATCTACTACGATCACCTCCCAATCGATTTGACTTGCAATGTGATAAAAAAAATAAGCCAGCTTATGAGGATTCAAGATATCCATCCATTACGAGGACTCACTGTTGATCAAACGTTCGCGCAAGTAACCAGATCATGATAGGCAAGTTCCGTCGTTCGTTGTAAGTCGGCAAGATGACTGAATATTTATCTAAATTTCCAGAACATGAGGTAATTAGCTTTCCAGACATGACTCTTTCAAGCACTTCCTTCATAATGCGATAACTGACCATCGTCAGTTTTGGATTCCATATCGCCTTCGGTTCGTATATTCATCAAGATGTGGTAGTATAGGTTTGAGCAGTGATGATATGCTTGAACTCGATGTAAATATTTGGTGTTGAGGGTGGTATTACTATTAGTAACAGAGGACTATGGACAGGGTAGTTCGGGGGACGACAGCTTTCCCCTGGGGGAGAGAGCTGTCCTAGCGGTGCAGAAGGTCCATCTTCAAATAACACCCAGTCCCTCGCTTGCGCAGGGGAACTACGCAAGCGGCTCCCGCTCTCAGCTTTTGATGGTTTATCGGAAAGGCACTGTTTGTAGTCCTGGAGTTGACCGAGCCGCTTCCGTTGGTGCGACCCTCAGAGGTTGTTAGGCCGTCGTAGAAGTAGTAGGGAGTCAAACAAGAAGCAGGTTAATGAGGAGCATTCTTTTTTCGACTCATTCTGACTGATTTGCCCTGCAACAATAGTTGGGAAACCTCCTTCCATTTCTCGAACTTAACACAATTCCCTCGCCTTCCGGCAGGCCGGCCTCGCACAAAGTGCGACCTCCGGTCAGCAAGGGACCCTGCGGGACTGCCCTCCGGGCCCTCACTCGAGAGGCTTGGTTAAGCTCGCTTCATTCTCGGCAGCTGAACGGATGACAAAAAAAGCCTCCCGGACTCCTCATTCCTCCAATAACAGCCGAACGAGAACATTCAATCCTAGCGCGTTGCTTAAAAAGTACGACCACCCCAGGACTCGAACCTGGAATCTCTTGATGTCAACTGCTTCGTTACGAGCAGTCGTAGTCAAGCGCCTTGACCATTGGGCCAGGCAGCCATTGTTGTGACGATTACGTAATTTGACGGCTAGACTGCCACCCTCTGGATGTCTGTTTTGATGGATGAATCAAACTGGAAAAACTGGAGAGAACAAGGATTGAGGTCATGTCATGGTGTAGCTTAACAGAAGCCTATTCATTTGGTATTGCCTGTCTGGTGTGAACCGCCCGCACAAAGCAAGACTGTGAAGGAGGGTCTCGCTGTTGCATGGTATGTCAGGCTTGAGCACCTGACACCATTTTGTGGGGAGTTGTTGCCATCCCACTTTTAATCATCTTCCCCCAGAGCAAAGCTGATGTCCTTCGGATAATGAGACTCTTCTCATCTTTGCGCTACTTTAGGTCTAGTTCCCATCGCCTAACTCCAGAACAGATCAATAGAGACAAGAGCTTTAGTAAGCCAGAACATATCTGAATTCAAGACCAAATGCTTGGGAATTCAAGACATCAAGGCATGTGCAAGAGATGGACATGTAAAGTTTAGTTGAGCCAATGCGGCACAAAAGATCATTGAGAATTTGACTATTGAAAATAGCTGATGGTCTGTCATCTGGGGTAAGATTGCTATGTACATACTGCATTTTATTTCACAAAGAAGCCATGTTGAATTTTTCAAAGACACTGCTGTTGAAAGGGAAATCATATTTGCGGGTTTGAATCACATGAATAGAAAAGGAAAAATGAGGATGCAGAGAGAGAAAAACCAATGGTTACATGAATTATTACACAATGTTTGATGGATGAAATGCTTTGCATAGGAAGTGGATCAACATAGTCGACTGAACAAAGGTCCCCAACGACCCCCCCTAGTTTTAGGCTCAGGTTTTGGAACACGAGGAGGTGGAGGAGTAGGCTGTTTGGGAGGCTCGACGAGCTGGGATGGATTTCCAATGTCGATCATCTTTTGGTCGTCGTCTGCGTCCTGTTCGATTGGCTCGGCTCCTCCTTCTGGAATCGGCCGATCGAACAAGCCCTCCGTCAGTTTCTGGCCGTCCATTGTTGACTGCTCTTCTGACTCTCTTGGCGCATCTTGATCATCGGTCGCTTTCGGTTTGGGCTTGACGTCCTGGAAATCAGTGACCAATTTTTCGCTCGAAAAGACCTCATCTCGCAAGTTGCCTCCGCATGTTCCCGGTCGGTCTGGAAGAAGTTCGACAGACGGCTTCATCGCCGAGGGAGAGGGCATTCTTCGTTTGCGACTTGGGGTTGGCTTCGCTTCTAGCTCTAATTCAGCCCCAGCTTCTCCTTGTTTATCTTCCTCGATTGATTCCTCCTCTCTTTCACGTTTCCGATTCGGCCGATCAATGGACGGCTTCACCTCGATCGCTTTGCTCATGAACCGTGCAAGTTCGTCGTCCAACACACCTACCTTGGGTCTGGGTTGTTTGGCCTTGGGGGCTGTTTTCGGGAGGGGTTTCACTAGACGAGCTGCGAGGGGAAGGGATGCATTAATAATGTCGGGAGGTAGCGGTCGGACAAGTGACGGCTTTCTTCGTGAACCGATCGAGCCAGCTTGCTCAGACAAGACGCCTTCCTGACCAGCTCCAACGCCATTCAGAGCATAGAACATGCTCTGTTTTCTAGCACGCGAATCCTTGACGTCAGCGTTGGTTGCAAATCGGACGAAAGGGATCAACTGCTCAGGCTGGGTAGGACGATGGAATTTGTTCTTGGGATTGGCTTCGAATAGACACTCTGGGAACGGTTTCGCCGGACGATGGGTACAGACAAATTCGTAGGCAGCAGCATAAACTTCGTCGGACGATTCCTGCGAGGAGAGATACGCAAATGCCTCGGGAAGTCCATTTTCACCTTCCACCTCATCCGGCCTAACCAGGAGACCAGTAAAGCCTTCGATTGCATCCGTGTCTGAGGCGAACTCTAGCACGCAGGAAAAATCATCGACCCATTCGAGGTGTTTGAATATCGCCTTTCGGCCGGCGAGAAGTTGAAGGACGTGTGAGATGATTTGATCAGTCTTTAATAGCGCTATCGATCGGTTGTAAATGAATATTGCTCTCGGTCTTAATTCACGTTGTAGTCCAAGCTGGTATTTGAGAGGCGGTGGGATCGCTATTTGAGATTAATTCAAGAGTTGGTAGCAATCAGTAAGAATTCACCGGAGCAAGTTCGATTGAGAATAGTCGGACTGACCCAATTTTTCCAATATTTCCTCGTCAATTCCAGGATGTTGGCTGATGAGACCAAATTCGATCGGTTCACTTTTGACAGTTTCTGTGGGATTTGATTGTTCTGAGGTGCCATTGACTTGGTTATCACCGTTGATTTTTGAAGAACGCCTAGCCATCTTAGGTCGGAGGGGAAATGTTTTGAGGGAGTAAACGATTTTGTGAAGTGATAGGTGTTAAGGAAAAGTAGTGTGGTTTGATCAGATTCCCGGTTTTACGGTGCAGAAACAACGCTCGGTGGCTGAAATTGTGGAGAGGGAAGTGGAGGAAGGGAAAGCGATTGGCGACTTGAAGAAAGATTAAGATATGATGGAGACCGACCTCGAGATCGAATTGCAAGTCGGCAGATGGCTTGTAGAGCTTCCTCCGTACTTGTCCATTTGGATGAGCTGGGAAGTCCCGGAATGATAAACTGGTCTGATCGGGTTCATGGTTGTCCATCGTCAATTTTTGTCCGAAATTGTTAGTGACGCCCCGTTTACTCGTGTCCTTCCTGGAATTTGGGCTTGGTGGATGTGGAAAGATTGTGGAAGGTGGTGTGCTGTGGTGTGGCAAAAGTGTACACTGCGGGGCAAGAGGTTCTCCGGGGTCCATGATCCCGGGGTAAGGCTCACTCGTGTTAACGGGATCGGGGGAGATGCTCCCGGGTCGGCCCCCCGCGCGGCGCAGCCTACAGCTGTCTTGCTCGGCCTGCGCCTGCGGCCCTCTGCAGCACCATTTCGGTCATGTACTTAGACATGCTATATTGGATATTCATAACGCGCAATGCCATACCTCACGGCCACATTTGCACTTGAAAAAAACCCAGCGCCGTTAGAAGCGACCCACCTGACATTCCCCCCTCCCCCTTGTCTTGCTTCCATCAATAATCCCCTTCTACACAAATATTTTCCACCTTCCTACTTCAACACATACGCTACTTCTGTCCTTCAGAAAACTTCTGCTCAAGTTAACTCGAAGTCTATTCAAGCCAACACACTCCTTCTACTCTTAACTTCGCTTCATCATGTCCTACGGTGGTCATTACGGAGGAGGAGGTAGCTCAAGCGGCTATGGTATGTATCCACTCACCCTGGTCTCCATCATGAGCGAATACTGACTGTCAAATTCTCTTTGCTTGTCGCAGGAGGTGGATATTCTGGCGGCTATGGTGGAGGTGGTGGTGGTGGTGGAGGCTACGGCGGCGGCGGAGGCTACGGCGGCGGGGGTGGTGTAGGTTCATCTTTCTCTGCTCCCCTTGTCCACAGAGAGAAGCTAAGTGTATGCGTACTTCGATCATTCAGGGTGGAGGCGACCGAATGTCAGGCCTCGGCAGTGGCTTGGGACGCCCTAAATGGGACAACTCAACCTTGACCAAGTTCGAGAAAAACTTCTACGTTGAAGACCCTCGAATTACTTCTCGTTCCGAGCGTGACATCAATCAATTTCGCGCCGAGAAAGAGATTCAGGTGTTTGGCAAAAACATCCCCAAGCCCATCTCGAATTTCAGCGAGGCTGGATTCCCAGACTACATCATGAGTGAGATTCGCAACGCCGGGTTCAACGCTCCAAGCCCTATTCAATGCCAAGCTTGGCCTATGGCCCTCAGTGGTCGCGATGTAGTGGCTGTCAGTGCCACTGGATCGGGTAAGACTATCGCGTTTTCGATCCCGGCCATGATTCACATCAATGCGTGAGATCAAGTCCTTTTACTCATTGGGCTGTAAACTTAAACTGACCTTGCTTTTGCATCTAGCCAACCTCTTCTAGCACCGGGCGACGGGCCCATCGTTTTGATTCTTGCCCCGACTCGTGAGCTGGCCGTGCAAATTCAAGGCGAATGTACCAAGTTCGGCGCCTCGTCCCGCATTCGCAACACGTGTGTTTACGGAGGTGTTCCCAAAGGTCAACAGATCCGTGACCTCACTCGCGGAGCCGAGATTGTCATCGCTACTCCTGGTCGTCTGATCGATATGCTCGAGAGTCGCAAAACAAACTTGCATCGAGTCACTTATCTTGTCATGGACGAGGCGGACCGAATGCTCGACATGGGTTTCGAGCCTCAGATCAAGAAGATCGTTGAACAAATTCGACCCGATCGACAGACCTTGATGTTTTCAGCTACTTGGCCCAAGGAGGTCCAACGATTGGCTAGTGAATATCTGAAGGATTTCATTCAAGTCAACGTTGGAAGTCTAGATCTTACTGCCAACATCAACATCACTCAAATTGTAGAGGTGTGCAGTGATTTCGAGAAGAGAGGCAAACTGATCAAGCATCTCGAGAAAATCTCGTCGGAATCCGCCAAAGTACTCATCTTTGTCGGAACAAAGCGAGTTGCCGACGATCTGACGAAATATCTGCGTCAAGATGGATGGCCGTCACTTGCGATTCATGGTGACAAGCAACAGCAAGAACGTGATTGGGTACTCGAGGAGTTCAAGAGCGGCCGAAGTCCTATCATGATCGCCACCGATGTCGCTTCGCGTGGTCTAGGTATGTATGATTGTTTCTCCCCCTCCCCATTGTGGAAGATCCGTGGGGCAGTGGATTGTGCATCATAGCATTTTCCAGCGGTGCCGCATATCCATTTGGACTACCGCGCTCGCATGAGTTGGGCTGTACGAAAACTTGCCCGAGTTTGATCGTCCAAGCCCCTGCCTGAACCACCTATGTCAGTTCCGTTGCATCAGTGTGTGCAACGGCAGTACAGGTTGTATGCTGCGATTGGCATGAAACGATATATCCTGTTTCTCAATATGCCTCGAAGCATGCAGGTAGCGTTCTATCAGCCTAGTGTCACAGTTTGTCTCGTGGTAGCTTTCCCCGGATTTGTTTGCGCTATCTTCACTAGGACCTTTTCTCTGACAGTTAGGGGCTGTTGCTTGATTTGTTCTTTGATCCACTGGGTGGTGAGCGATAAGACATTTACTTTGCGACTAACCAAGCGTCAATGTGGTCATGGAAGATGGCATGAAGAATTTGTGGAGCTGGCAGGAGAGACATACCGTCGCATGCAGATAGAACCGACTCGCACCAACGGCATAGAAGATTTGATGATCAATCAAGAATCTATGGGTAGCAGCCGAGCTCTTCCGTCACTCCTTCCCCAAGCCTACCGCATTCGGCGGCATCTTGTTGTTTTTACTCACATTTCATCTTGCCTCTAAAACGTCCTAATTCTTGGATGAATCCCAGACGTCAAAGACATCGCTTATGTCATCAATTATGACATGCCCAACGGCATTGAAGACTACATTCATCGGTACGCTTTGCTTTTTTTTCACGTCTTGGAAGTCCTTGCAGCTCTAACTCCGTTGTTTTCCATTATTAGTATCGGTCGAACCGGGCGTGCTGGGCGTACAGGTACTGCCTACAGCTATATCAGTGCTGATCAGAGCAGTGAGTTGCACAATTGTTTTTCCTCTTTGTGTTTCGTGCGGTGGTTTCTGACATATGATCTACTTTTCTACTTCCAGAGCTGGCCAGGGAATTGGTCAAGATTCTTAGAGACGCCAAGCAAATAGTCCCGTCAGCATTGGTAGAAATGGCATCCATCGGAGGAGGCGGTGGTGGTGGACGCCGAGGAGGTGGTGGCTATGGTGGTGGCCGTGGTGTAAGTTTTGACGCAGTTTTGTAATAGTGGGGATGGTCCATTGGCTGATGTAGACCTTGTGTGATACCAGGGAGGCGGTGGTGGTGGCAGATACGGCGGAGGAGGTTCGGGTGCGAACTCTTACGGTATGGGACGCGGAGGTGGGGGTGGTGGTGGTGGTGGTTCGCGGTGGTAGTTAACGTGCTTTGGACAAAACAACTCACCGATCTTTCTTACGTCTCTTCAACACCGCGAACCGTCGCTTCCCTCACCTCTCGCTTCTTATTTTTCTAAACATTGTAAGATGAAGCAGCTTATTCCGAACTCTGTATCTCAATCGCTGCCCGAGTTTGATCCACGATTCACGAACTTCCATTATCATTCCTGAGGGATTTTGTCGCTTTATGATTTCCTACTTTGTGCACTCTCTAACCAAACTGTGATTCAACTTCCTCCAAAAGTGGTAATCAACCTAAACCACATCCTAACACACCACATTATTTCGTGTCCGGTCCCAAGTATAGTGACACAAACCACTGCACCTACGTTCATCTTTCCTTGTGCTTGTTTTTCTGCTCAAGTGATCGTCACCCAAACATGTATGGCATCTCCCACACAGCAAGATTTCCATACGGTGGTTCAGCCAAATGGCCCAAGGTCAGCAAATATAAATTTTATAAGCATTGATGGGGAGGTGACATTAGGCCTTGGAAAAGGGTATGCCCTGATGAGGATTTGAATGATGGCCTAGAGCTGAATCCATAGGCTCCTTCAATGCTATGTAGCCACTGCTGTCTTTAAAGTCTTGTTCTAGTCTTGATAAGACTTGGCATTTATAATTTTACTCTGTTACACTATTTTAATGTGAGAGTAGTACAAGATGTAGATGCTGGTGCAAGTTTCCACCACCAAGGATCAAGTGGATATCAGTGAGAGAAGAAAAAATGATGGAACCTTGATGTAACGTTTGAAGTTTTAGTTAACAAATTCTTTATTTATCGATAAAACTTATTGAATTGGTAGCTACATACTTACTATATTTAATAGTTAGTTATTATGTGAATCTTTTATATTTAGTGGATTTCATTATAATGTTCCTGATTTCATTATAAGTTGATTCGGTTGTTGTTTTCTTTGTTATTATATATAAGATTGTTGTTTCTCTTTCATGTCTTTTCCTTTCTTTCCTTATCGCGATTTTCTTTGTTTTATTTATCATCTTTACATCTCGATCCTCGAAATAAAACTCTCAAGTTCTTTTCCTTATAAAAACCCTTTCAAGAGTTTATCTTTCTTTAGAAAGTAAACTACCCTTACTCTTTCATAATATAGACGGTTTACTCTCTTGAGTAAACTTATAGTCACTCAAGAAAAGAAAGTAGTAGGCGGGCCCTCACAATTAAATCGCGATCTTTTTTCTTCGGAATCCTCTCGACTTCGTAGAAAGCAATTTTTACAAAAAATTTTGCGTCTTTAAGCGTTCCGGGATCTTTGATTTCCTTCGTCACATCTATTTCAGTTCCCTTCTCTCGATTTGTTGTGTACTCATTTTGTTCATCGACCGATCTTATATCTCATTTTTTTATGTCCGACACTTCCTCCCCAGTCGCTTCTAATAGAATGGCTTTCCCGGACTCTTCTTCGAAGAATTCTCTTAATCTCCAATCCTCTCATCCTCTGATTTCCCCTTTCACTAGTCCAGCTCCCAATGTTTATGTTGCGACTTCGTCTCATCGTGATCTTCCTCCATTATCTCCCATGCCAGACGACTTCCAACCGAGACCCATCCCTTCTCCATCTCCAAGTATCCCTTTCCCGTCCCCAGTGCCAAATCAACAAGATCATCAGGATGGGGTTTCCACCCTTCTTTTGGGTTTACAGATTGGAAATCCGGATCGTGATCAAACCATTCTATCTCATTCTCAGTCCATCGCTTCCCTTGAATTGCAGGCTAGGCGTAATGAAGAGGTCTTACGGCGGAACGACGCGACCATTAAGGAGCTTAGCCAACTTTTGGTTTTTGCTTCGGACTTCACCAAATTGAAGTCTCAAGTTTTGCGAGAATTTTTGCAAGTTCGTAATTCTCTTGATACGGCGACTGGTTCCACCAATTCGCGTTTGGCGTTGTTGGAGACTCAGGCCACCTTTACAGCTAAATTTCATTCCGAGCCTCCTCATTACTCTCACTTATCCTTTTCTGGTGAAATTTCTGAGACTCACCAGTTTTGCTATTCCATTTGAGACACATTTGCTCGTGTTTCTCATCAGTTTGGTTCGGAACGCGATTGTATCTTGTGGATTTCCAGCTATTTTTGTACGGCTTCTGGTCGCTTGGGAGAGCCGTGTCCATCGTATGCTTGGTGGCGAGGCCTTCTCACTCGTAACGCGGACGCTCAAGGACTTCCGACTAAGTCTGCGTCGGCTTTGGCCCCGTTTGTTCTTCCGGAGTTGGCTACTTCGGACACCTTTTTGGATCTTATCAAATCACATTTCTCTAGCTCTACCGAGGAGGAGGATTCCAGAAAAGCATTTTTTGCCCTTCGTCAAGGATCGTCGTCGATTTCAGATTTCAATATTCAATTTAATACGTTATTGTATTCAGTTGACCTTTCCCCCAAGTCGGCTCTTGAACATTATGAACGCGCTATTAATCAGAAGATCATCGAGCTAGGTATACAACGAGGTGGATGGTCAGAGTTGACTAATTTGGACGATATGCAACGTATGGCGGTTAAACTGTCGTTGGATGTTGGCCGCGTAAATCAGATCAACCAACACAAATTTTCAGTTCCCCCTCCTCGCGTCGAATATCGAGTTTCTAGTTCGGCACCAGTCGTACCTAAGCCTTCTCAAGCGGTTCCTATGGACATCGATTCAGTCCTGGCGTCCGTTGGTTTCACTTGGCCGGCTTGGAGAAAGGCTTGTACGGATAGGAGGACTTGTTTTTGTTGTCTTCAAGCCTTCGACAAGGACCATGTGGATCACCGTGGTTGCCCTCTTCCGGAGTCGAAGTGGTTGAAGAAAGAATCCTTGTTACCGTTTTGGAAGGAATGGGGTGGAAAAGTTAGAGAGGATGATCAGGAGCTGGATCGTTATTCCTATCGATCTAGCGATTCAGCGGATAAAGGGAAGAAGAGGGAATCCATTTCCGAACTCGATAGCATTCACGCCCCGAAGAAGCGCTTTTCGTCTCTCCCGTCGGCTTCAACTTCTCTCCATCCTGTTCCGTCGACTTCCGCCCATGTGGATGCAATTTCGACGGAACCTATGTCGATCAGCGAGATTATGTTCAATCGCCAGCTAAGTGAATTGGAGTATGACGAAGGTAAGTCTCCTCATCGAGTATTAAGTTCATCTTTAAGTAATCGACCTCTTTTTGAGGGACATTTGATAGTCAATCATCATGATTTAGTTAATGTTTCAGTTTTGGTCGACTCCGGTGCTTCAACATCGTTTATTGACACTAATTTTGTTTCTTTAAATAATTTAAGAATGAAGTTATTGCCTTCTCCTTTGATGCTTAGGTCGTTCAATGGTTCATCGGCGGTCACAGGCGATGTTACTCATTTTGTGGATGGTATTTTTATTGTTCCTTTGGTTTCAGGAAAGTTTTTAGAATCAAAAGTTCGACTTCATGTGACGCGGCTTTCTTTGGCCTCTGTTATCTTCGGTAGCACATGGTTGAAAGCTACCAATACATTTATTGGAGGTGTAAACAATGAAATCATTATAGATGGTTGTGGTTTTTCTAATTCTTCTGTAGAGGAGTCCCCTGGCGGTTTTTTGTTAAAAAAGTTTTCTGATGTATTTGTAACAGATACTGATAGTTTGGCGTCTCTCCCTCCTCATTGGGCGGGTTTTGATTGTGAAGTTAATCTTAAAGAAGGAGCTGTTCCTCCTTTTGGGCGTATGTATAATTTAAGTAAACCTGAACGTGATGAATTAAAGAAATATATTGATGACAATTTGCAAAAGGGCTTTATTAAGGTATCATCGTCCCCGGCTGCGGCACCTATTTTCTATGTCAAGGTGGAAGGGAAGTCAGATCGGCCTTGTGTAGATTATCGGCTGCTGAATGATATGACCATTCGGGATTCTTACCCTTTGCCAGTGATTTCCCATTTATTGAATAATTTGCACGGGTGTAAGTTTTTGTCAAAGGTCGATCTTAAAGCTGCCTTCAATTTACTTAGACCATCTCCACCGCAAGTTGCTATCCGGGCTGCCAAATCTCAAAGTTTGGCAACTGCGGCGCGTTTTTAGAAGCTTGCGACCAGTTGGGTTTGCACCGCAAGTTGCTATAATAGCAACTGGCGGAATGTGAAAGGTCCCCCCCCGGGGAGGCAAAGACTGCACTTCATATCGGCCGGTATCGGTCCTCTTTCTGTAGTGACCGGTACTGACCAAGCAGAGTGTACTCTATCCGGTGACCGGTACCATCCAAAGAGATTGTACACTCTCCAGCGACTGGTACCGGTCACTTCTCCAGTGATCAGTTACCGATATCGGTCTTCAAGAGTCAAGACCTCGTGTCACCGGTACTGGTACTTGCTAGTACATGTAGAATTGTTTTTGACCACGATCAGTCTGTGGGAGTGGACACTGTAGTGACCGATACCGGTCTGTGGGATCGTACATTCTTTGCGACCGATACCTGTCTTGAAGAGTGTACATGTTCTAGTGACCGGTACCGGTCCTAGGTGTTGTGCTGTGTCGGGGGAGATAGGGAATGGTGAGCAGGAGAATCACAAGAAAAATTTGTGATACTGGCGAGGTTGCGCTGCTATCCTGATTCTACATTTGGTATTGCGATAGCAGCAGAGAGGCGAGGTACCAAATTTTTTCAGTGTTTAGCAGCCGCGGTGGCGCTGCTAAATTGGGCTTGCGCTGCTATATCTGGTTTAGCAGCGCAGTTTAGCAGCCGCGGTGGAGATGGTCTTAGGGTCGCGCCTGGGCACGAGTGGAAAACTGCTTTTAGGACGCCATGGGGTCTTTATGAGTATCAGGTTATGCCCTTTGGTTTGGCTAATGCTCCAGCGACCTTCCAACGGTTCATTCAACATGTTTTACGCGAATATCTTGACGTCTGTTGTTTTGTTTATATTGATGACATTTTAATCTTTGCTAGAACTCACGATCAACATCTTATTGATTTGGAAAATATTCTGACTAAATTAAGGGAATTTTCTTTGAAGGCATTGTTGAATAAATGTGAGTTCTTTTGTCCTCTAGTGACATTTTTGGGGTTTGACATTACAGCTGAAGGGCTCAAGATGAATGTGAAGAAATTGGACACCATTAATCAATGGCCTTATCCTACTAATTTGAAGGAATTACGCTGTTTTCTGGGTTTTACTAATTTTTACAGGAAATTTATTCCGGCTTTCTCTAAGGTGGCCGGTCCTTTGACATCTCTAACAAAAGGTGATCTTGGTAATCAAGTTTCGTGGCGCACTGATTCATCGGTCAAGGCGTTCGAAGAGTTAAAGTCGTTGTTTGTTAAAGAACCTTTGCTTCTTCATTTTGATTTTGATAAGCCATGATATGTACATGTTGACAGTTCTGGGTTTGCTATTGCAGCAGTATTGAGTCAGCCGGATGATCAAGGTAATTTATTGCCGGTGAGTTATTTTTCGAGAAAGCTTACGGATAGAGAACGTTCCTG